CCATCTTCCTTTGGATCCTCAGGGTCGGGAAGGGGTGTCAGGTCTAGGGGCCTCCATGGAGAGACCTCGAGGAGCCTCTGCTAGTGCTCTGAGCTGACCACACTTCCCCATTCTGTCCTCAGGAGACAAGATCCCTGGCTCTGCCGTGCTAATCTTCAACGTTCATGTCATTGACTTCCACAACCCTGCGGATGTGGTGGAAATCAGGACACTGTCTCGGCCATCGGAGACCTGCAATGAGACCACCAAGCTTGGGGACTTTGTTCGATACCATTACAACTGTTCTTTGCTGGACGGCACCCAGCTCTTCACCTCGTGGGTCCCGGGTGGGGCCGGGACTGGGCAGGTGGGTGGGCACAGGCATGGGGAGTCCTCCTCACCGTACCCCGATGCCTGCTCCTCCCTCTTGGTCCTCGAGTGCCAGGGGAGCATTCAGCCTCTTGCTGCTTCTGTAAGTCCCCATCTCAGAGCATGCCGGGGAGCCATGAGGAGATGAAATTCTCTGCGTCGCCGGGGAAGGGAAGGTGAAGCCAACCGCTGTGGGAGAACTGCTCTTTCCGTTTCACAGAGGGGAAACTGACGCAGGGAGCCATGAGCCCTCGAGGCCACACTTTAGGGGGCAGAGGCAAGATGAGAAGGGAACCCCACATCTGCACCGCTGGGCCCTTGCACTCTGCTGCATGGCCCAAGTCACCAGTGGGAGTCACTCCAGAACTCAGGGCTTGTTCTGGGCCCACGTCAGAGACAGTGGGGTGTGCGCTGGCAGGGGACAGGTTGGCTGCTGACCTGGGCATCTGCTCTCCTCCAGGCATGACTACGGGGCTCCCCAGGAGGCGACTCTGGGGGCCAACAAGGTGATCGAAGGCCTGGACACGGGCCTGCAGGGCATGTGTGTGGGAGAGAGGCGGCAGCTCATCGTGCCCCCGCACCTGGCCCACGGGGAGAGTGGAGGTGAGGGGCTGAGACCGTAATCTTGTTTTTTTTTTTGAGATGGAGTCTCACTCTGTCACCCAGGCTGGAGTGCAGTGGCGTGATCTCAGCTCACTGCAACCTCTGCTTCCCAGATTCAAGCGATTCTCCTGCCTCAGCCTCCCTAGTAGCTGGGATTACAGGCGCCTGCCACTATGCGCAGCTAATTTTTGTATTTTTAGTAGGGATGGGGTTTTGCCATATTGGTCAGGCTGGTCTTGAACTCCTGACCTCAGGTGATCCACCCGCCTTGGCCTCCCAAAGTGCTGGGATTACAACCGTGAGCCACTGCGCCCAGCCCGAAACCGTAATCTAACTGGCATCCGTCCCTTTTGCTCCTGCCCATTGTGGGCCTGAGGGCTGGTGGGAGAAGTCAGGAATGCCTTCAGGATGGCTCCTTAAACATCCCATGCCCCACTCTCCAGCCTAGCCCCAGGAGGGGAAACTGTGGCCTGTGGGCTGGGAAACAGTGAAGCCAGGCCCAGACCCTGGCCTGACTAGGACCCCTCCCTTCTCTCCTGCCCTCCCTCCAGCCCGGGGAGTCCCAGGCAGTGCTGTGCTGCTGTTTGAGGTGGAGCTGGTGTCCCGGGAGGATGGGCTGCCCACAGGCTACCTGTTTGTGTGGCACGAGGACCCTCCTGCCAACCTGTTTGAAGACATGGACCTCAACAAGGATGGAGAGGTCCCTCCAGAGGAGGTGAGTGAAGGTTCAGTCTTAATAACCATGCCCACGCACTCCCCGCACCCAAGAAGCGTCGAGGAAGATGTCCCCGTCCGGACTGCCCACCTGCCCTCGTGCTCCTGCCTGTGCTGAGTCCCGTGCCTCAGGCTCCTCATCCCTGCCGTTTCCTGGGCACACATGCAGGCTGTTCCCTACCTGAGACCAGTCACAGACTATCCCCCATGCCACGCCTCCACCCCGGCCCCCACCAGGACCCCAGCACCAGTGCCTTTCCCAGCCCTTCCTGAGTTACAGGGTGTGGGGGAGCCTGGGAAAAAATAAGAAAAAGAAAGCACTCACTGACCTCCACCTGGGGCCCCTCCCAAGGCCATGACCCTCACTGCCCACTCCCCCGGCTCTCCCCTCCCCCAGTTCTCCACCTTCATCAAGGCTCAAGTGAGTGAGGGCAAAGGACGCCTCATGCCTGGGCAGGACCCCGAGAAAACCATAGGAGACATGTTCCAGAACCAGGACCGCAACCAGGACGGCAAGATCACAGTAGAGGAGCTCAAGCTGAAGTCAGATGAGGACCAGGAGCGGGTCCACGAGGAGCTCTGAGGGGCGGGGAGCCTGGCCGGGCCTGAGACACAGAGGCCCACTGCGAGGGGGACAGTGGCGGTGGGACTGACCTGCTGACAGTCACCCTCCCTCTGCTGGGATGAGGTCCGGGAGCCAACTAAAACGATGACAGAGGCAACATCTCTGGTGTTCCCACCACCCTAGGTGAAAATCCACAGCACAGACCTCTACCCCATTTCTCTTCCATCCCCACACCCCTTCTTTAAAATGTTTGGATTTGCAAAGCCAATTTGGGGCTGGTGGAGCTTGGGGTTGGATAGGGCCATGGCTGGTCCCCCACCATACCACCCCTTTACATCACAGGCACAGCTGAGCTTGTTATCCCTCTCCCCAACTTCCTCTTTTTGTTTGTACTTCTTGTTATCCCCACTCCCAGCCCCTATTCCTCTATGTGACAGCTCCCTAGGACCCCTCCATCTTCCTCCCCATTCCTGACTGGCTCCTAGGGAAGGGGACAGCTCCTGGAGGGCAGCCCTACCTCTCCCATCCCTTTGCCCTCCTCCCTCGCCTCCAGTGGAGGCTGAGCTGACCCTGGGCTGCTGGAGGCCAGGATTGGGCTGTAGTTAGCTTTTCATCCCTAAAGAAGGCTCCTTTCCCTAAGGAACCATAGAAGAAGAAAACAGAGGGCATGTGTGAGGGAACCTGCTTGGGTGGGTGTTAGGGTTATGAAATCTTGGATTTGGGGCTGAGGGCTGGGAGGGAGGGCAGAGCTCTGCACACTCAAAAGGCTAAACTGGTGTCAGTCCTTTTTTCCTTTGTTCCAAATAAAAGATTAAACCAATGGCCTTAGGGTGTCTTTTGGAACAGGTTGAGGAGCAGAAGGGAGTGGCTAGCGGGTTAAGCGGGGGTTGTGGGAGGCCTTTAGACCCAGAGATTGGGGCAAAAGTTAAACCAGGCTGTTTCCATGGCCTCATTAGTTCCAGACAGCGGTGTGTCCCCAGATCAGGGGCTCCCCATCTGGAGGTTTCCTGCCTGCCCTGGGCCTAACCTGGGGGCTTCGCTGCAGGAAGGGAGGCCTGGTCTGTGGAGGGGGTGAATGTGTAGAGCGGGGAGGCCTCCAGCAGGGCGTGGAGAGACGATCCTCATCCTCCAATTGTCCCAATTGAATGGGAAAGACAAGGTCCCTGACCTCAAACACAACCTACAAAGCAAGAATTAAATTAAACCGCGCAAGTCAGATTATCCTTTTCCATAGATCATTTCCAATACTATGATATTCCCATCTCTCCCTGCTCCTGGCCACCACCTGTTACCACCTGTCCACCCTCTTGCTAGGGGAAAGGTAACCGAGTTCAGATCTCCACAGTGTCTTGCAAGAGGACTTCAGCCGCCAACCAGGCCATCTGTCCTCGCCAAGCATTCGGGGGACAGGGTGGGGACTTAGGAGAGAAAATGACAGGACCGGACTCACACAGCAAACTGCCTCCATCGGCACTTCTTGCCCAGGGTCCCCTAAGAGACATGACTGCTCCCCATGGGCAGTGACTGACATTCTCTGGTCCCAAAGCATCCAGAAAGCTCCTTGATCAAAGGGTTTTTTTTCGAGACAGGGTCTCACTCTGTCACCCAGGGTGGGGTGCAGTGGTATGATCTCAGCTTACTGCAACCTCCGCCTCCCGGGTTCAAGTGATTCCCCTGCTTCAGCCACCTGAGTAGCTGGGATTACAGGCACGCGCCACCACGCCCGGCTTATTTTTGTATTTTTAGCAGAGACGGTCTTACCATGTTGGCCGGGCTGGTCTCAAACTCCTGACGGCACGTGATCCGCCACCCTGGCCTCCCAGAGTGCTGGGATTACGGGTGTGAGCCACTGCGCTGGCCAAGAAAGCTTCTTGATTAAAGTCTGGAAGTGGTTACTGACCCAGTCTCAGATGGTGACCACTCCCTCCTCCCAAAACCAAATGGAATAGGCTTGAAGCAGAGAAATGCAGCCAAAGGCATGGGCTTTGGTCAGGAACACTCAAATCCTGGCTCCAGCTCCTAGCTACGGAGTTTGGGCAAGTGACTCATCCTGCCCGAGCCATCTGGAAGCAGGAGGAGCTGCACCTACTTGTGGGGTCATTGTGAGGGTCAACTGGCAGACACCCAAATGCCCAGAGCGGCACCTGGCACACCGCAGGCCTTCAGTAACATCTGTATTACCTCCCAGTTCACATCTGCAGAATAACAGAACTTTCCAACGGCTAGTCAAACACTGCGGGAAAGGTGCCGGTGATTTCCTCTACAGCTAAGACAATGCTGAACTGGCTCTTCAGGGTCAGCCCAAGAATGCAAGACCACAGTGCACACATCACTTCTTTCACCTTGGGACCCTCAGGTCCCTGCTCTAAATTCCCCTTTTCAGGTCATCCACTTTGGTGGCCCCGACCCAGAAGAGGTGAAAGGAGAGCCTAGGGCATAGGGGGACATCCACACCCAAATGCATCCCCTCAGGGATCCCCAAAGAGGGGGCTCTCAGACAGGGTTGCCTCAACCCCACCGATCCCAAATGAATTTCAAGTTTGATGGCTGAATCAGAATAAAGTCAAACCACTGTAGGCTAGAAAATACCCTTTCAACCCCACCCTGAACCAGACACAATCAGGCTGTGCTCGGACGGGGTCCCAGGCCAATTTGTGGTGGTTCCCAAACTGTGTTCCTAGAAGCATCACTTGTGCCCCCAGGGCCAAGAGGTCCAGGTTCTACCCCCACCCACATCCCCTGAATCAGGACAGGTGTTTTTTTCATTTTAAAAATTTTGATCTGTTTCACACATTATATTTGTTTGAAGAACAACTTCCCATTTTTAAAAGTGTTGAAAAAAATCCCTGGAATAGACAATCCCTAGAGCACTGACATGCTGTGGTCCAAGGTTCACCAGGACCAGTGCTTGTGCCCTGCCACACGGCGGGGCTCCTTCAAGCCTCTGGTGATGAAGGTGCTCAGGGAAAGGAGGACGGAGGGGTATAGAAGGACCCAGCCGTTGCTGGCCACCCTGGCCTCTGCTCTGTGTCCATGGGGGAGCGGACTCCTCACCACGGCCTGCAGGTCGGGCTGAAGCCTGTGCCCTCAGGGGCCTTGCATCTCCAGCTGGTCCCCCTGGCACAGGATGTGCTGCAGCAGCCCATTGACCACATCCAGAGTCTCGTCCTTCTCCAGCACGATGTCATAGGAGTCCATGTAGCGCTCCCGCCGCTCCTCCACCTGCCCGGGGTGAGAATAAGAAGCCTGAGGGTCCCCAGATGCCCCACCCTTCGTACCTCACTCTCAAAGCCCCTGGGGCTGGGGAGGAGAGCATTCAAGCAGCAACTCCCAGCTCCCTTTTGAGAGCCAGAGGAGTTCAAGGTTACCGGGACTACCCTTTGGAGACAGATGAGGGATGGGCATGGGCTATCACAATGAACCCTTGGGTCAATACCAAAGGATAGTAACAAGGAATAAAAACAAAAAACCAGATGTTGCCACTTTGGGAGGCTGAGGTAGAAGGATCATCTGAGCCCAAGAGTTTGAGACCAGCCCAGGCGACATGGCAAAACCCCATCTCTACAAAAATTGGCCGGGCATGGGGGTGGGTGCCTGTAGTCCCAGCTACTTGGGAGGCTGAGGCAGGAGGATCACCTGAGCCCAGGAAATTAAGGCTACAGTGAGCCAAGACTGAGCCACGACACTCCAGTCTAGGTGACAGAGTGAGGCCTTGTCTCAAAAAAACAAACAAACAAAAAAAACAGATGTTGCCTGTAATCCATCTGGATTGAATTTCTTTCTTTCTTTCTTTTTGAGATAGGGTCTGACTCTGCTGCACAGGCTGAAGTGCAGTGGCATAACCTTGGCTCACTGCAGCTTTGACCTCCGGGACTCAAGTGATCTTCCTGTCTCAGCCGCCTGTGCAGCCAGAACTACAGGCATGCTCACCATACCAGCTCATTTGTGGTGTTGTTGAGACAGGGTCTCATTATGTTGTCCAGGCTGGTGTCGAACTCTGGCCTCAAATGATCCCCCTGCCTTGGCCTCCCAAAATTGGGGGGGGCGGTTACAGGCATGAGCCACTGTACCCGACCAGGACCCAGTTTTTTGGTTAGTTTTTTTGAGACGGAGTCTCGCTCTGTCACCAAAGCTGGAGTGCAGTGGCGCCATCTCAGCTCACTGCAACCTCCACCTCTGGGTTCCAGCGATTCTCCTGCCTCGGGCTCCTGAGTAGTTGGGATTACAGGCGTGCACCACCACACCCGGTTAATTGTGTACTTTTAGTAGAGACGGGGTTTCTCCATGTTGGTCAGGCTGGTCTCGAACTCCTGACCTCGTGATCTGCCTGCCTCGGCCTCCCAAAGTGCTGGGATTACAGGCATGAACCACCACGCCCAACAGGACCCAGTTTCATCCGGCCTGAGTATTCTGGTGGGCTCCGGCACCTGCAGGCTGCGGGGAGGCACCCTGGCAGCTGCCTGGCTTCACCCTGTATTTGAGCCCCTTTATGACAATGCTGCTTTCACCCCCGTCAGTCCCTGATCTGTTCTTGTTACTTTTCTTCTCTAAATTATAAAACCATGTCCTCGGCTGGGCACAGTGGCTCACACCTGTAATCCCAGCACTTTGGGAGGCCAAGGCAGGTGGATCATCTGAGGTCAGGAGTTCAAGACCAGTGTGGCCAACATGCTGAAACCCTGTCTATACTAAAAACACAAAAATTAAGTTGGGCATGGTGGCAGGCACCTGTAATCCCAGCTACTCGGGAGGCTGAGGCAGGAGAATCGCTTGAACGCAGGAGGCGGAGGTTGCAGTGAACCAAGATTTCATCACTGCACTCCAGCTTGGGTGACAGAGCGAGACTCTGTCTCAAATAAAATAAAAAATAAAAAATAAACCCATGTCCTCAATACCAACATCTCCCATCTCAATCATGCCTTCTAGTAGGATGTAGGAGGACTGGTAATTAGCCCCACTGTTTCCTGAACTCTATCATCTTAGGCAAGTTACTTAACCCCAGGCCTCAGTTTCCTCACCTGTAAAATGAGGATAACAGTCACTACCTTAAGGGGTTATAAAAATCAAATGAATTAATATCCATGAAATGCTGAGAGGAGTGACAGTGCAGTGCACAATCAGTAAACTGAGGCTAGGATCCCATGCCCGGCCTGATCCTCTCTCTGAACGCCTGTAAGGTCATGTGGTAAGACAAAGCTGTAATCACTGGGTTTCTGTTTCCTACGAGATTATGCGCTCCAAGAGAATACAGCTTCCTTCTGTGACCATAATATTTTACCTAGTGTCTAGCATATAGAAGGTGTTCAAAGGTGACTGGGCGCAGTGGCTCACGCATGTAATCCCAGCACTTTGGGAGGTGAAGGTGGGCGAATCACTTGAGGTCAGGAGTTCAAGACCAGCCATGGCCAACATGGTGAAATCCCATCTCTAGTAAAAATACAAAAATGAGTCAGGCATGGTGGTGCGCACCTATAGTCTCAGCTACTCAGGAGGCTGAGGCAGAAGAATCACTTGAACCTGGGAGGTGGAAGTTGCAGTAAGCCAAGATTACGCCACTGCACTCTAGGATGGGTGACAGAGCGAGACTCTGTCTCAAAAAAAAAAATAAAATAAAATAAAATAATGAATTCAAAGTGTTCAAAGGCATTTGTTAACGGGCATTCAAAGAGAAGAAAGCCATGAAGAGAAGCAGCCCTGGTCCTCTACCCACCTTGTCATTCAGGAAGCCAATCTTGAGAATGTTCTGCACACCAGGAACCCCATCGGCCATGGTGAGGTCCCCGATGGAGTCTCCCAGCAGGATGACATTGGTTTTGCCCTCAAGTTGCTGGAAGTAACCAGAGTTCTCACACACGGAGCTGTTCTTGTTGTATGTGTGTATGAGCTGGCCCTTAAATCCCTGGAGAAAACCCTAAATAACGAAGACAAGAGACAGATGGAAGGGCCGCAGGGACCCATGTGGCATCAGCTCTCCACTGTCTCTGTCACAGAAAAGGGAATCCCAAAAGTGATAGATAATGCCAAAACTTCACTGTAGCCTAAACTAGGGCCCCTGGGCCAGACTTGGCCTGCTTTTGTAAATAAAGCTGTATTGGGATACAGCCAAACTCCTTTGTTTACATGATGCCTATGGCTGCTTTTTTGTGCTATAAAGGCAAAGTTGGGCAGTTGCAGCAGTGATGCCACGGCCCACAAAGCCTAAATATTGACAACAGGGGTAACTCCTAGTTTAAATGAACAGGAGCCACCCAATATCGCAGATCATCTGTTCTGGTGGATGCACGAAGCTGTGATATAAATGCCGCGCAGGTTACACGTGTGCTAATGCTCAGCTGCGGGCCACCTCCTCCCTGCAGGTCAACGTGATGAAAATTCCAACCATCAGTTTTATGGGGAAAAGAGTCAGAACGTGGATGAGCTGGAGCAGCCCACCTCCGGCTTGGGAAAAACAAATCAAAGCCCACGCCCTGCAGGACCCAGGATGGCACATAACACACGACAGTGACATGGGGCAGGGCAGGCCCATAAATTAGGTACCCCAGGGCAGAGAGCTGACTGTCAGGCAAACACCAAAGAGAGAGGATCCTTTGAAAGTTTTTTTGTTTTTGTTTTTTTCTGAACACAGTCTTGCTCTGTTGCCCAGGCTGGAGTGCAGTGGTACGATCTTGGCTCACTGCAACCTCTGCCTCCTGGGTTCAGGCAATTCTCCTGCCTCAGCCTCCCAAGTAGCTGGGATTATAGCTGCACACCTCCATGCCCAGCTTATTTTTGTATTTTTAGTAGAAACGGAGTTTCACCATGTTGGCCAGGCTGGTCTCGAACTCCTGACCTCAAGTGATCTGCCTGCCTCAGCCTCCCAAAGTGCTGGGAATACAGGTCTGAGCCACAGCGCCTGGCCGAAAAGTAACCCATAAACAACTGCAAGAGGGTGAAGAAGCCAGTGTGGCTTACCTCCCCTTCTTCCCCAGGTTAGGGTTCATGCTGAGTTAACCACCCTGGCTGGTGGTCCCCACCCCTCGTCCTTTCCCAGCCCAAACAAGATTTGGCTCACATCTTCATTAAAATCCATGTAGTTAGACACGATGTGGATGTTGGGGTGGAAAACTTTCATCTGTCGGATAATTTCTTCCAGGATATCACCAATGCCCGCAGAAAAGATGAAAAGGGGAATGTTGTTATGGTAGAGTGTGTTGAAGAAGGTCTTGTATCCCTCCCTGAAAAGAGATGGAGGAATTCTGAAATGGCACTGACTCCGCTGCTGTTCTTTGTTTCCTACTTGGGTTATTTGTGTTTTGGGTTTTTTGTGAGACAGGGTCTTGCTCTGTTGCCCAGGCCGGAGTGCAGTGGCACAATCACAGTTCACTGTGACCTCAACCTCCTGGGTTCAGGTGATCCACCCGCCTCAACCTCCCAACTAGCTAAGACCACAGGTGTGCGCCACCACACCTGGCTAATTTTTTTATGTTTTGTAAAGATGGGGTTTTCCTATGTTGCCCAGGCTGGTCTCGAACTCCTGGGCTCAAGCAACCCATCCACCTTGGCCTCCCAAAGTGCTGGGATTACAGGCGTGAGGCAAGATCACGCCATTGCACTCCAGCCTGGGCAAGAGAATGAGACTCCAGCTCAAAAAATAAATAAATAAAATAAAAATAAAATAAAATAGAGCATACGATATATTCAATAAGTGGCTAAAGTGTGCTAATCCTAAGTGTTCGGCTCAGTTAACTTTGCCATACGTATACACCCATGTTACTAACTAGCTTGAGGCTCCCTCGTGATCTCTCCCAGTCAATATCATCCCTCCCATTGATTAGCTTTGCCTGTCCTTGAACTTCATATAAATGGACTCATACACAATGTACTCTTTTGTGCCTGGCTTATTTTGTTCAGTATAATGCTATGTAGTTTATTTGTATTTTGCGTGTAATTAGTTTATTCTCTGTCACTGCTATTCAGCATTATTCCACCATATAAATATGCCACAATTTATCTACCCAGCTTCTTCTTGATAGACAGTTGAGAGATTTCCAGATTTCAGCTGTTATGGATACAGCTGCCACAAATACCCTGTGCATATCTTACAGTGGCTACATGCCCTCATTTCTCTGGGGTACATACCTGGGAGAGATGCTGCTGTGGCAGAAGGTAGGCATATGTTTTCTGTTGCTATCAATACAACCAGGCAGCTGACCTGGGCACCTTCACTAGGGCACACCCACTCCCACCCCGGCACTTACTGGGTCAGCAGAGGTCTCCACTGTCTTGACTTTTGAGGAGCTAGCCAATCTCCTCAGTTAGGAGGCACAACCCTTGAGGGCAGACACCCATGTCACTCCTTCCTTTATGAGCCCTGGTCCCTCCTCCAGGAAAGAAATCTCCAGCAGAGACAGCTGTTTAGTGAAGGCTGCCAATGATCAAGCGTCCCAGCCTAGCCAACTCCCAGTTGCCATGAACACCAGTCACCAGAGGGACCCCAAAAGTCTTTCACCATTGTGAAAAATGAGCTAGACTTGGTGGGGTGCGGTGGCTCACGCCTGCAATCCCAGCACTTTGGGAGGCCAAGGCGGGCGGATCACAAGGTCAAGAGATTGAGACCATCTGGCCAACATGGTGAAACCCTGTCTGTACTCAAAATACAAAAATTAGCATGGCGTGGTGGTGGGCACCTGTAATCTCAGCTACTCAGGAGGCTGAGGCAGGAGAATCGCTTGAACCCAGGAGGTGGAGGTTGCAGTGAGCTGAGATCGCACCACTGCACTCCAGCCTGGCGACAGAGTGAGATTCCGTGAAAGAAAAAAGAAAAGGAGAGGGGAGGGGAGGGGAGGGGTGGGGAGGAGAGGGGAGAGGAGAGGAGAGGGAAAGAAAGGGAAAGAAAGGGAAAGAAAGGAAAGCAAGCAAGCAAGCAAGCAAGCAAGCAAGAAAGAAAGATGAGCTAGACTTGGTTTGTTCTCAGAGATGGTGCCCTGCCATTTTGTACTACATCCACTACCTGCTGACTGTTTCCCAGCAAGGGTAAGACATTCTTTAGCTGTATCACATCAGTTGTTCATAGCGCCATGTCCCTTCCGGTCCTTTAAGCAACTAACTCCTCTCTGCTCTTCCCCTGCCTCTTTTTTTTTGAAGAAAACACTTTCAAATAGTCCAATAGAAATGTTTTCCAGAGCAAGACGCTTACCTGAGCATTGCATTGGACTCTCTAACCACCTGGGCTATCTGAAACTTCTGAATCTTCTGCTGACACAGGAGGTTGTGCGCTTTGGTCCACCTAGAAACAGACACCCCAGAAAACCCCAAATTCAAATCACTCAAGTAAATAATTCCTCCTTTCCCTTTACAGAGCCAAGTGCCCTCTGACAGCATTGCCGACAGAGGCCTCATCCTTACGTTAGCTGCCTTTAAAAGGAAGACGGTGGCCAGGCACGGTGGCTCATGCCTGTAATCCCAGCACTTTGGGAGGTCAAGGCGGGTGGATCACCTGAGATCAGGAGATCGAGACCAGCCTGGCCAACATGGCGAAACCCCATCTCTGCTAAAAATACAAAAATTAGCTGGATGTGGTGGCGGGTGCCCGTAGTCCCAGGTACTCGGGAGGCTGAGGCTGGAGAATCACTTGAACCCAGGAGGCGGAAGTTGCAGTGAGCCGAGACTGGGCCACTGCACTCCAGCCTGGGTGACAGGGTGAGACTCCATCTCAAAAAAAAAGAAGGGAAGAGGATGAGAAAGCAACCCAACAGAGACAAGTGCTGGGCAAGCTGGCTGCTGGAGCTGGCGCTCTTCTGAGTCCCTTCCTCCGCGACCACTCTATCTGGAGAACTGGGGCTCTCTCCAGTGATGAGGGTTGCTGTGGTTTGAATGTGTTGGAAACTTGATCCCCAATGTGGAGGTGTTGAGAGATGGGGCCTAATGAGAGGTGTCACGGGGGCACCATCCTCATGAATGGATTGTCATTATCACAGATTCCTTATAAAAAGAACTCTTCTCTTTCTCTTTCTCTCTCCCCCACCCTCTTTGCCCTTCCACAATGAGATAATGCAGCAAGAAGAAGGCCTTCACCAAATGCCAGCCAGTCCTTCGATATTGGACTTCTCTGCTTTCAGAACTGTGTGCCAATAAATTGCTATTCATTATACATTATCCAGTCTAGGCTGGGTGCAGTGGCTCACGCCTGTAACCCCAGGATTTTGGGAAGCCCAAGTGGGAGGATCACTTGAGCTTAGGAGTTGAAAATAGCCTGGGTAACATGGTGAGATCCCATCTCTACTAAAAATAGAAAAAATGAGCCAGGCACGGTGGCACAAGCTGAAGTGGGAGAATCGCTTCAGCCCAGGTGGTCGAAGCTACAGGGAGCCACGATCATGCCACTGGACTCCAGCCTGGGCAACAGAGCAAGACCCTGTCTGAAAAAATAGAAAAAATATATAAATTACCTAGTCTGTTATTCCGTGACAGCAGCACAAAACAGACTAAGAGTCACTTCCGCAAAGCACTTATTCCCCGACACCAACGGTCTTTAACTTATTCCAAGGATTTTCTGAGGGTCTCCACTCCAGCAGCAGCCACAAAAAGCCCCGGGTTCATCTGAAAAGTTTGTTCCAATAGCTGGACTAATAGCATTAAATTAAGCCCTCAGTAAAGTAAGGGAGTCTATCATCTCATCAAAGGTCTGGAAAACTACGCCCCTCCCAGCCTACTCCATCTCAAGGGCCCAGAAGCTTTTCTCCACCACCATCACTCACCATTCCACCATATGAGGTAGCTTCTCCTTGATGGTCCGGTGTGGGTCGATCTCAATTGGGTAATAGTGGTGAAGGAGCGCTGTGAGCTGGGATATCCAAATGGGGAGAAAGGCCATTAGTCTATATCAAGTTCTTCCCTGCAAAGTCCTACAGCTTAGTATGAGAAAAAAGTCACCTAGAAGAGGCAACTTCATGGCCAGAGGCGGTGGCTCACATCTGCAATCCCAGTGCTTTAGGAGGCCAAGGTAGGTGGATCACTTGAGGTCAGGAGTTTGAGTCCAGCCTGGCCAACATGGTGAAACCCTGTCTCTACTAAAAAATACAAAAATTAGCGGGTGTAGTGGCACGTGCCTTTAATCCCAGCTACTCAAGAGGCTGAAGAATGAGAATCGTTCGAACCCAAGAGGCGGAGGCTGCAGTGAGCCAAGACGATATCATACCTCTGCACCCAGCCTGGGCCACAGAGTAAAACCATGTCTCAAAAAAAAAGAAGATGCAACTTCATTTAAGAGAGTGTTACATGAAATTTTCTTCAAGTTTTCCTTTGGGGACGTGTCGTTTATAAGACCTAAGTTTCTCTTCTCTTCTTATCTTCCAACATAATTGCTCAATACACTCACATTTTTATCTATTTGGTGAAGTCCAGGGAGCACCTGGACCCACAGAGCTGGTCATTCCTTTGCACTCACCCTGAGAGTGAGGTCTCAAAGTCAGCACTATGAGATTTTACTATCAGAGAAGAAGGGTACTAAGATTTTTTTTGCTGGTATTAATTAGCTGAATCGTCAGGGCTTAACCAGTAAGAACTTACTTAATGCTGTGTTTTGCAGAATGTGGTCCACTTTCTCAGGTGATAGGTAAGATAACTTGAGGGAATTCATGGAGAAGCGCTTTTTAACTCAGTAGTTTTGGATTCATTTTCATGTAGAATTTTTTTTTTTTTTTGAGACAAAGTCTCACTCTGTCACCCAGGCTGGAGTGCAGGGGCGAAATCTCGGCTCATGCAACCTCCGCCTCCCGGGTTCAAGCAATTCTCCTGCCTCAGCCTCCCGAGTAGCTGGGACTACAGGCATGTGCCACCGTGCCCAGCTAATTTTTGTATTTTTAGTAGAGACGAGGTTTCACCAGGTTGGCCAGTCTGGTCTCAAACTCCTGACCCCATGATCCACTTGCCTCAGCCTCCCAGAGTGCTGGGATTACAGAAGTGAGCCACCGCTCCAGGCTCTTTTTTTTTGTTTGAGACAGAATCTGGTTTTGTCTGTTGCCTAGGCTGGAGCGCGATCTCCCTGCAATTTCTGCCTCGCAGGTTCAAGCTATTCTCCTGCCTCAGCCTTCCAAGTAGCTGGGATTATAGGCATGCACCATTACTCCCAGCTAATTTTTTGTATTTTTCATAGAGACAGGGTTTCGCCATGTTGTCCAGGCTAGTCTCGATCTCCTGACCTCAACCAAGCTGCCGTCCTCGGCCTCCCAGAAATGCTGGGATTACAGGCGTGAACCACCACACCCAGCCTGTTTCTTTATAAGTTAATTACAATTTTTAAAAGCAGGCCAATTTAGAGAAAGATCTAGTAAATGTGATACACAGATATGGCCAAAAAAAAAAAAAAATTAAATTTAACTAGAAGACTGTACTTTGGGACACAGCATGTTGGTGGACAATTCCGTCAAAGTGTCAATATCATGTGAATGCACAGCATCTACATGTGTTTCCTCTAAGGTTTCCTTCTATGTGCCAAGACTTTGACACTCTAAAGGAGCTGTTCCAGGGATCATGTGTCACACAGAGCCAGTCAATAACAGTGCCCAGTAAAAATGAGAAATGACCAAGTAAATAATTTTAATACATGAGTGATTCTCAGGAACATTACAAGATCAAATGGAATCCCTGTCCATCTGTCCAAAAGAAAATTAAATGCAAAGCTGACATAGTAACAAAGGCAGAAAACTCCTGAAATGTATTAAGATTCTCAATGTATGTGTTTTTTTGGAGTGAGAACATTTTTCTAAAAATTAGGCTGGGCAAGATAGCTCACGCCTGTAATCCCAGCACTTTGGGAGGCCAAGGCGGGCGGGCGGATCACCTGAGGTCGGGAGTTCGAGACCCAACTGGCCAACATGGTGAAACCCCGTTTCTACTAAAACTACAAAAATTAGCTGGGCACGGTGGTGCATGCCGGTAATCCCAGCTACTCGGGAGGCTGAGGCAGGAGAATTGCTTGAACCCGGGAGGAGGAGGTTGCAGTGAGCTGAGACTGCACCATTGCACTCCAGCCTAGGCAACAAGCGCGAAACTCCATCTCAAAAATAAATAAATAAATAAATAAAAATAAAAATATACTAGAACTCGGCTGGACGTGATGGCCCAGGCCTGTAATCCTAGCATTTTGGGAGGTCAAGGTGGGCAGACCACTTGAGGCCAGGAGTTTGAGACCAGTCTGGCCAACATGGCGAAACCCCATCTCTACTAAAAATATAAAAATTAGCCGGGCATGGTGGTGCATGCCCCTAATCCCAGCTACTACTCGAGAGGCTGAGGCATGAGAATTGCTTGAATCCAGGTTGCAGTGAGCTGAGATTATGCCACTCCAGCCTGGCGATAGAGCAAGATTCTGTCTCAAAGAAAAAAAAAAAAAAAAAATATATATACACACACACACACACACACACACACACACACATATATGTGTACACACACACAGAGACACACACTAGAACCCAACAGAAGAATATAAATTTTCTTTTAAAAAGGCCAGGTGCGGTAGCTCATGCCTATAAGCCCAACACTTTGGGGAGGCTGAGGCAGGAGGATTGCTTGAGTTCAGGAGTTCAAGACCAACCTAGGCAACATAGTGAGACCCCATCTCTACAAAAAATTTTTTAAATTAGCTAGGTATAACGGCACATGCCTGTAGTTCCAGCTACTCGGTAGGCTAAGGCAGGAGGATCGCTCGAGCCTGAGTAATGATCAAGCCACTGCACTCCAGCCTGGGTGATAGAGTGAGACTCTGTCTCAAAACAAACAAACAAACAAACAAACAAGCTCTGCTATTTGGCTGTATGACCCTGGGTAAGTTGCTGAACCTCCATAACGTTCAAATCTCTTGTAAACTCTATAGCCACCTCTAAGTATAATGTCCAGTTCCAACCATTAATCATCATATGTCCTGGCCAGTAAGGAAAAGCTGTCTTAATGTATTAAAACTAGATCCTCCTTAGCAAAACAACAATTTTTAAAAAATTAATTTTCTAAGGTCTCTATACAGGAACCTTTGGTTCCAGTCAGGAACCATTTGAAGTAGCATACGACAACCATTTCTGAGCAAAGGACGGGAGCAACCCACCTCTGTCCGACACTCCTCACTGATGATCTTGCTATTATCCAGAATATCTGGAAAAAGAGAAAACTCCTTTTACTTGTCCCTTAGAACCCATCATCTTGTCAAGCCCAACAAGGCAAGCTAGAATGTGACTTACTGTAAGAAGAAGGACATCGCTTTCCATTATATGCAAACCTGCTCAAGGTCATGTCAAAATCAGAAATCACCTGTAAGGCAAAAGAGAGATGATGCCTAAATAGGCACCTTCTAATGTGGCCCTGCCTCAGCCAGAGGATGATTATGGAAATCAAAACAGCTCAGTGGCGAGGATGGTAGGCAAAGCGGTGGAGGAGTTACTGAGTGACACAGAGGTTTAGAGGGGAAGTGATCTTAATTAGTACCCGTTAACCCTGAGGAAAACGCAGTCTCCTAGTGTAGGGGCGAGGGTGAAATACTCAGGACCCCTCTGACTCCTTCAATTTCAGGTCCTTCCTAAGAGATCTCTACCATTACGGCCCATCTGGATATCTTCAACTTACTGGAGAGCCGCTGGCTTGGGGAGGATAAGGCCCCAGGTACTGGTGTGGGGCGCCTTCTGTCCAATTAGAGAAAGCAGCATGACCATATTGAGAAATCTGAAATCTGGGATTCAGGACAGGGGAACCAACCTGCTCTCCTTCAAGTTCCCGGCCATTTCTTAGGGTGGGGAGCTAGCAGGGGTCCGCGGCAGAGCAAAGCGGGAAGACCCAATGGGCTGGAAGCCTCCCCAGCCGCCCCCAGCCCTGCCGGCCCCCGCCCGCCTCCGAGGTACCTGTAACCTCTCTCCGCCGCCCTTGCGGAGGACGCCCACGATCTCCTGCACCCGCCCAGGCTGCCGCATCAGGACCGTGGCCTTCATCAGGGTGCTCACCTGTCCCGAGACCCGAGAGAACCACTGACCCCCGCGCCGCGCTGGGTCCGAGGGGAGCCCGAGGCTCGCTCGGGCGCGAGTGTG